AGAGAGACAGAAAGCGAGAAATCACCCCCCAGGGGGGATGGTCACGCCACAATCCCTTCTCCTCCATTCTCCTCTTGGGATCTTGGGCACACACGCACACGCGCCCGGCATGAGTTTAAGCCACCGGGTCCAGGACTCAAACCACGGTTAACTACGTGGGAGTCCAGTGACATAGCCATTACGCTAACTGCTGGTCCCACAGCAGTTATTGTATATTTTAGCAGTACTCCTAATATCACCAGCCTTACAGTATGCGTGTGCAGTACTTAGCTTGGGATCCAGCACACAACACATCTCATGTAACACTGTGGTGTGGTCGTTAAGGCAGCTGGATCCCACATGGCCAACAGCACAGTTCAAGCCCGGACCCACTTGAAAAATATGCCAGGTGCCTGTGGATGTGTCCCGAGAGGAGAATAGAGGAGAAGGGATTGAAGTGTGGCCATCTTGCCGGGGCGTCTTCTCACTATTCTCTCTCTCTCTCTCTCTCTGTCCAGTGAGCACATGTGCCTTATAGCAAATTTTTAAAAAGACTTATGATTATAGAGAAATTAAAATGCTTTAAGTACCTACTGTGTGCTAGGGATTTTATATACAAAATCTCGTTTACTATTTATTTACTTTGGACAGGGTCTTGCTGTGTCATGATCCTCCTACCTCAGCCTCCCAGGTAGCTGGTATAGCAGGTGTGCTTACTGTGCCCAGCTTTTAGGGTCAGCTGGGACTCAAACCCCAGCCTTCCACGGGGCTTCAACCTGCTGAGTAACAGCGTCTACCAGGGTGTGCTCCTGGGAGCAGACTCACTTTTTAGTAATCCTAAAGGTAGACGTTAACAATTCTGACAACCAGTTGTGGTTATTACAGTTAGGTGTATTTTACCGCGCTCCAGCTCTGTGCTGAGTCAACTGGTATCTCTTAATCCTTACCTCCACCTCGAGATGAGTCCTTTGATCTCCATGATGTAAATGGGGAGATGGAAGTTCCTTAGGCACCTTGACTGGGGTCACCCAGCCAGCAGGTGGCAGAGGGGCTGGACTCAGGTCAGTCGCAGTGGGGTTGATGTGAGCACAGGCTTTCAAAGCCATCTTCAGTCAGGTTAACCCTGGAACCTGGCAGGTCCCCAGCCTCAGACTGCGTCAGAGCCAAGGGCACATGACAGATGTCTTCTCCCTGGGAGTCTCGTGGGAGCAGCCCCTCCAGAATCACCTCCCACCCAGCACCTGGCCTCTCCCAGGCCTCTGTCCCCTCCCCCTGGTGATTGATGTGTTGGCTGTGCGGCCAGCCCCTGCATTGTCCCCCTGGGGGCTGGAACCTGTCCAGGCTGGAGCCCAGCCCTGGTAATTGATTGGCCCTTGATTGATACAGGCGGCGGTTCAAACCACGGTGTGAGCTGCGGCCCAGGTTTGGGAGCTGCCAGAGACAGAGGAATACAGAGCCAAAGTTTCCATCCAAGTTTGGACACTTGACCTGCACTTCCTCTGAAACTGAGCTCCTCTGGCTGCAGAGAAACACGTACATTTGAGCACCTATAAAGCGGGCCTTCAGGGAGAGACAGGTGGATGGCAGAGAGAGCAGGGCCTGGGGATCCCAGGACTGGGGTCCAACTCCCGGCCTTCACTGGTACAGTCCTGCTTCCCTAGCTCTGACCTGCTGGGATTGCGGGGCGCAGAGGCTGTAAAGAGAAAGTGCCTGGCACAGACGGCCCTTAGGAGGGGTCATTACATCTCATGACCGTGGTGGGAGCTGCCCTTTGTGGTGTGAGCTCCATGTGTGGGCACTGTGCAAGGTCTGGGCATGTGTGAGCCCAGTCAGTCCTCGCAGTCCAGTAAGAGAGGATCAGGCCTGTCGCCCTCGGGACCATGGAGATTCATGCTAACACTCAGTGGCGGGGGCCGACCTGTGCATTGTGGGATATTCACAGCACCCTGGCCTCCATCCGCCAGATACCAATAGCATCCCCACCAGCTGCGACTACCAAAAACATCTCGTCCTTCCCCAGTGTCTCCTGGGAGCACAGGCACCGCCTCTTAAACCAGCTGCATGGGGGCCAGATGGTGCCTCAGCGGTGAGACGGTGCTCTGCCCGGCTCACCCACATGGGAAGGTCCCAGGTTTGTGTCCGGAGACTTCCCCTGAGTATGCCAGGTACCCACATGCCCATGATCTGGGGTTGGGGTGGGAGGGGTCTGTTTTTCTGGCTTATGAAGGAAAGAAAGAAACTTTCAAAGAAAAGGAAAAGCAGCCTTGTGCAGATGAGCCCAGGCACTCTGGCCAGAGCCCCGATGCAGCATTGCCGACCTTCACTGGGACCCAAGTTCAGAACGCGGGGGCTTTGTCTTCTGGGAGCACTGAGGGTGGGGGTCCGCGTGCCTTGCCTCAGGAAGACTGAGCTCTCCCTAGGCTCCTCTGCACCAGGTGGCTGCTGTGTGGCTGCCCAGCCCTCACCAACGGCGAGCAGGCCCCACAGATGGGACAAGGGCCCTCCGCTGGTCCCCCTCTAGCTCGGGGTGGAGGTGGGACAGTGACAGCTGAGACCGCCTGACCCTCCTGAGCCCCATACCCTCCACCACATCCTCCTGCACCCGCCTCCACACCAGCAATGGCCACTGTCCGTGGGGACCTCTGGCCCATCTACACCTACCCTGCCTCTCCCCATGCTAGGCCAGAAGGCCACAGGACCCTGTGTTCTTTCCAGGGTCCCCGAGCCCATCCTTCCTGTGCTGCGTCACCGCCAACCACTGACTCACTTGCTCGCGAACTATTTATACCCTTGCACAAATGCTCCCCTCCGCGCGCCAGGCAGACGGCTGTGTTCTGCTGGCAGCCCTGGCACGCGTCAGGGGGCTGGGCACAGCACAACCACGCGGGTTTAGGAGCCCGATAGACCCGGGGCTTGAGTCCAGCCCCGTCCTTACTGCTGTGTGACCTGGAGCAGGTCACGTTTCCCCTCAGAGCCTCCACTGTAAAATATCTAGAGAGCAAAGTAGCGTAAAGTTCTCGGCACAGATTCCAGGAAGTGGGTGCTCTGAAAGCCATGTAACGCTGTCGAGGAGCAAAGGGAGATGGGGAGCCCTGGAGAAAGCAGAGGAGTGAGAGACGCATTCATGCACACACCAGGTCCTCGCGGCAGCCCCTGCATATCACTCTGCTGTCACCCAGCCACCGACCTAATGGAGTTCAGAGCCTTGGGGACTCCACACCGCTTTTTTAGGTGCAGGAAAGCCTATTTTATGGGACCTGAGACCGCATTCCCCACCCTCCAGAGTTTCCCTCCCCAGCTGTTCTAGAAAACAGAGGCAGGGCAGGTGTTAGCCTGAGAGAAGGGCTGGGCTGCGCAGACAAAGCCCCCGTCCACCAGGCCATGTGCACCAGCACCCGCACAGCACGGAGGCCATTGCAGGCCCCCAAGCTGTCCAGGGGGACATTGACTCTGCCCCACACACTATCTCTATGACTGTGTTAGTAATATAAGAAAGAGAGCCACGTGTGTGGGGTGGAGACAGTGCTGCCACCTAACCGCCATTCTCCCCGCGGCACCTGCCTGCCTCCCTACCGGACAGTGAGCTCCACAAAGGCAGAGACCCTGCCGCCAGGGCCTGTGGTTCATGCATTATTGCAAACTCATTCTGCATCTTTGAGCACCCGCTCTGTGCTTTTTACCTACCCACCCAGTCCTCGCATGAGCTGGGGGGTAGGGAGGCACAAGGAGAGACCCCCTCCACGCGCCAGACAGAGGGTGCTGAGTGACAAGAGCCACTTATGTCGAAAGAGGCTGCCTGCACACCCACACCTGCATCACGTCCTCTATCCCAGCGCTTCTCCACCGGGAAGGATTTTGCTCCCAGGGGACATCTGGGAATGTCCAGGAGACATTTTCAGCTGTGCCGCTCAGGAGGGCTGCTGTAAAAATCCTGCTACGTGCATGGCAGTCCTGCACTAAAAGGCGTTATCCTGCCCCGATGGAAATAGTCTGAAGCTTGAGAAACCCTGCCCTAGCTTACGAGGCTCTGCCACCGAAGGTGTGGCCAGGGAGCCGGGAGGTATGGAGGTGAGATGTCCCTCCAGTTCCCAGGATGTGTCCTGGAGACGGCCCGCGAGTGCCAGCCTTGGAGCCCACGTGCACTCCGTGGTATTCTGAATTCTCTCGCTGCGTGTCACGGCAGTCCGTACCAGAGGGCTATGCCATCGGCGTCCTCGGGCCACCGTCTTCCCACAGTTAGTACTCTTGGTGCGCAGGCCCAGTGATGAGTGTCCCGCCCTCAGAGCTAACTAAGCAGATACTGAGCTATGTGAGGACCCTGCCTGAGCTCAGGCCCCCACAGTGTGGCAGGGGACCTGATCGGAGGGAAGTGTCCTCTGAACCCCCCAGCTCTGTGCACTCTTGACATATGACACCTTTGACTGGTTAGGTTGGAGGGGTGCCAAGATGTTCTTAAGCCTCTCTCTTTGTGCCCACAGGTATGATGCCGGGCGGGATGGCTTCATCGACCTAATGGAGTTAAAGTTGATGATGGAGAAACTTGGGGCTCCCCAGACTCACCTGGGCCTGAAAAACATGATCAAGGAGGTGGACGAGGACTTCGATAGCAAGCTCAGCTTCCGGGAGGTAAGCCGTGCCCCCAGCCCACTCCCCATCAGGTGCAGGCTCGCCTGGGACCTGGTGGCCAGGGATAAACCAATGCACCCCATCCCCCTCCGTCATTGAATGCCATCATTGACCAACCAGCTGTGAATGGCTGGGGCTTGACTGAGCAAGGCTTCTCCTGGAGCAGGCAGGAGAGGGGTGCGGAGATGCCTGCAGTGAGGAGGAGGCACAGCCACCCCTGCATGCTGCGAGCTTACATGGAGTGATGTCTGCACACCTGCCCGGTGTGGGCCCCAGGGGCAGAGAGGGCCTGTGCTTCAAGGCCCTGGGGCGCAGAGAGAGTCACCAAAGGGAAATCGCACAGCGTGGGATTCAGCAGAGGGGCCAGTCGAAGGACGTGACATGTGGGTCCTCTGTGCTTTCCAGAAGAGCTGGCACAGCCCTGGGTGACCTCATACCTAGGGACTCACTCACCCTGTCGTCACTCAGGCGCAGTGGGCAAGCCTGTTTTATGGGGAGGAGGCTCAAGCCAGTTTGCAGAGTACTGGACTCCAGGCAGCACAGGGTTCCATGCAGGGGGCAGCCTCAGCTCCAGTGGCCTGGGTGAGCTAGCAGGGCATAAAGGAGGCAGGGAGAGTGGCCGGGGAGGACCATGTGGGCAGTCCAGGGGAAGGGTGGGGTCCTTATCCCATGATACTGAGGCTTCGGCCAAGTCTTTTACTATCTCTGAGCCCTCCTCGTTCTGCAGAATGGGCATACTCATATACCTTGGGGTTTAGGGAAAATTCGCTTGGTGATCAGTGGGGGCAAAGTTAAGAGGTAGGTTGAGGCCATGTCAAGAGTCTGACTGTGGAGGCAGCAGAGCTGAAGTGACCCAAGGTCTGTGAGGACAGGTGAGTCACCTGACCTTCCATTGTACAGATGGGCAAGCAGAGGCCCAGAGAGGGGACCCAGGAGCACAAACCCACTCTCTGACTCCCAGTCCTGAGAGTGTGCTGCCCTTTCTCTGGGAAGGCTGAGGCTGGGGCCTGGGGGTGGCTGGGGACCTTGGCTCTTCCTTCCCTTCTGACACATCATACCTCTCTGCCCACTGCAGTTCCTCCTGATCTTTCGCAAGGCAGCAGCAGGGGAGCTGCAGGAGGACAGCGGGCTCCACGTGCTGGCCCGCCTCTCTGAGATCGATGTCTCCACCGAGGGCGTCAAGGGCGCCAAGAGCTTCTTCGAGGCCAAGGTGAGCAGCCTGAGGATGGTGCTGTGGGCACCCAGGGTGGAGAGTTTCCTGTCCCCGTGGAGGTTGTAGGCAGAGATGGAAGACTGACGCCCCCTGGGCCCATGGTGCTCCAGCCTGCTGTCGCCTCCTGGTCCATGCTGATCCTTTCTCTCTGCCCGGCAGGTGGGCGAGGGTGTGTGCTCTTGGAGAAGGGGCGGGAAACACCTCTAGTGGCCCCAGCCTTTGCACACAGAACTGCTATCCCAAAGGACTGGGCCTTAAGAGGAAATGGCCTTGGAGACAGCAGAGCAGCCCAGACACACAGCATCGGCTCCCAGGGCTCCGAGACACTAGCCCTGCCGGCTGCCACCTGGAGGAGCATGAGCGTCCCAGAGGTCCCTCATGCACAGCACCCCACTGCATGCTTAGTTAGGGGACAGGTAGCTCTAGTGGCTCCAGACGCTGCTTTTCCAGGGCCCTAGGGCACCTCTTGCCTCCCTTCTTCCACGTTAAGCTAAGAACATTCTTCTAGAGGCCGCCGCACACCTCCCTCAGGACTTGCAAATGCTGATGGAACCTTTCAGGGCTCATCTGTGGAACCACATGCAGCTGGGTCCCCCAGACAGGAAACAGGATAAGGGTGACACCACCACCAGTCCCCTTATAGGACCCTGACTCCGCATCACCCCCTATATCTGTGGTCTCCTTTAATCCCCCCAGCAAATCCATGAGGTCGGGGTTATCCAGTGCCAGGTGCTAAGCAGAGAAACTGAGGCTCAGAGAGGTGAATGGCGTGCCGGGCCCAGGTGTGAGCTAGTGAGGTGGGAGTGAGTGTTGCTGGCTGGGGTACAGCAGAAACATGAGCCAGAAGGGACCCCAGAGAGTGACCACAATAGCACTGAGGGGACGCCTCCAGCCCTGACTCCCCCCGCCCCCCGGCTCCCTTGCTCCTCAGGTCCAGGCCATCAACGTGTCCAGCCGCTTCGAAGAGGAGATTAAGGCAGAGCAAGAGGAAAGGAAGAAGCAGGCGGAGGAGCTGAAGCAGCGGAAAGCAGCCTTCAAGGAGCTGCAGTCCACCTTTAAGTAGCGAGCGGCTGTGGTCGGCCGCCCAGCCCTGGCCCCGGCGCCTGGTCTGGCAGGCGGTGAGGGTGGGTGAGGGCCAGCACCTGGGAGACCGAGCCTGACTCTGCATCTGGCTGATGGGACCACTACTAAAAACCTAGAAATGTCTGTGAATGAGCCAACTGAGAGGTCCCGCGGAGGAGGCCCGGCCACCTCTCGCTCCCTCCTGCTGTTCTGCGGTGTGACCCAGCACAGGCGCCCTGCCTGCAATCCCTGCGCCTCTCGCACCCCTGGCCGCCCCGCTGCCTGCTCCAGCTCTGCTGCAGCCCAGCTCCTGGCTCTCGGGCCCTCCCCCACGTACCTGCCCTCCATGCACAGCCCTCTCCTCCCTGCCCACAGGCCACTGCCCCTAGCCAGCACACCACACTCACCCTCAAGCCCTCTCACAGCCCTTCCTAGACCAGGGAGCATCAAGACAGGACGGGAAGAAGCATGGCTGCTTGCATAGAGCGGGCCACAAGGACTCTCCCCCCAGGACCTTTTCCTCCAGCTCTGCCCCTTCTATCTGCTGGAATCGATGGGGCTTTTATTTTGGTGAAGGGACCCAGGCTTCTGGTACCCTGTGCTGTCATGGAGACCAGGCCCAGGCAGGGTGAGGGACAGCTGGGCTGATCTACCTCACAGGCACACTCTCTGCCGGGGGTGGGGCAGGGGGAGAAACACCCACTAGCACCCCCCAGAACAACCTGAGGGCCCCCAGGTGCTCTGGAGAGAGTAAGGCGGAGAGGATTGGCACCTTCTTAGGGAAGAAAACAGAGCTTGGTCTCGCTTCTCCAGGACGTGTCCAAGAAGTGCTTTACCGTGTTTGCATGCACCGGGCGGGCGGCGGGGCGCTGGGGCGCTGGGCCCTCACTCTACCTTTCACACCATCCTTCCCCAAGTGACGTTCACCGCCTCGTCACCAGCGACGGGACCTGCCCGTCATGCCCACCCTGAGGAAGCACCCCCGTGCTCATCACCCAATGGGCCGTGGTCCAGCCCGCGCCACGGCCCAGCTCTGCCACAGCTCCATGTGCTTGCTCACGTGTGCGTGTGTCCGTTGCTGTGCTGTAAACTGTGACGTCATCCCGTCCAAACCAGTGAACGGCCGTCCAGGCCAGTTATGCAACCTTCAGTGTGTGTCCACAGCGTCTCTGCTTTTTAAACTCGGTAACTCTTTATTTTAGTAAAATGCCCCAAGAGGCCACGAAGCTCCATTGGACTTGCAGAGGTTTTATTTTTTTGGCCTTAGAATCTGCCGAAATTCGAGGCACTGAGCCCATGCAGCAGCCAGGGCCCTGGATTGCGTTTGCCTTAGCGGATATGTTTATACAGATGGATATAAAATGTTCTTTTTCTTTGGGCTTTTGGCGTTTTATTTTTTTCCTTCTCACCAAAAAAGAAAGAAAGAAAGCTACTTCATTTGGTGGTACGATTATTTTTTTTAACTAAAATAAGATAAAATTCTATATTCTTATGTGTGTGTGATTCTTGATGGTTAGTGGGGGAGAGGAGGGGCTGGGAAGGAAGGGAGCAGGTTTGAAGTTGCCTGGGTGGTGGAGTAGTCATGTCAGACCGCTGGGGGAAGGGAGACCCTAGCGGGAGAGGCTGGTGCAGTCTAAGTGCTCTGTTTGTGGTGCGCATTGTGTACTAGCGGGGCGGGGCTGCCTTCTGAGAAGGGTGTCAGGGGACACTGACCCAGACCCACCAGGTTCCCTGCTGCACACCTAGGCTACACGGTGTACGGCCTAGGCCATAATCTCACGGGACCACCATCGCACACACAGTCTGCAGTGGATGAACGTCCCGCACCTCGTGACTATGAGCTCATTTAAATCCTTACGGCCAGCAGGAGGGAGGTGATTTTTGCCCCCTCTTGCAGATAAGAACAGAATAAGGCTGACCTTATAGCCTAGTGAAGGGAAGCAGATCCCACACAGCTGACTACATGGTTCAAGTCCTGGACCCCATGGTTTGAAAAATACACCAGGTGTGTATATGTGTGTGCACACGCCCAAATTCCCAACGGAATGGAGTAATGGGAAGAGAAGGGATTGTGGTGCAACCACGCCCCATTGGGGAGTGCTTTCTCTCTGTCTCTGACAAGCATGATGCCCCTCTGGCAATTAAAAATAAAAGGGGGGACTTGCAGGTGGCACAGTGGTTGGTGCATTGGACTCCCATGTGGCCAACCGTGGTTTGAGTCCTGGACCTGACATCTTGCCTCTCTGGCTGGCTGGCTCTGGACAAATTTTTAAAATAATAAAACACACAGTATAGCTACATGTTCTATATCTGAATAGAGGTAGAGCTATATCATATGTAAGTTCATTAAATTATAAAAATAAAATTCAATTTAAAAAAAGACAAGGAGCCCTGGAAAGTCTCTGGAGGCACACAGGCAAGCAGTAACGATGCAGGCCCAGGGTGCTAGTTCATGCCTGAACCAGACCATGGGGCCACCCTGCTTCCCGATTTCAAAGAGCAGGGCTGGGTCCCATGAGACCACAGCACATGGCTCTGGCCAGCAGTGGCACTGAAGCTACGCAGATTCTGGATTGATGTCCCTCGGAGTGTCCCCAGCTACACAGAGACACAGTCTTGCTCAGGCTGGGAAGACACTCCAGGGGTGCAGGGTGACACGAGCAGGTGGACACCAGCAGCTCCCTGTGTAGCCTTGGACAGGTCAGGTGCACACTGGGTCTTAGTCTTGTGTGTTCAGGGGGTGAGCAAGGATCTTGGGACCTTCCCAGGCCCCTGGTTGTGGGTGGGACACCCCACTCCGCACAGGCACAATCTGAGGAGGGGGTGGAGGGTAGCCAGTTTGGAATTAGACTGGGCGTCACTGCCCCCGGGTGGCCATGAGTGGTACTGCAGTAATGGAGTGTGCTCACACCTCCGGCTTCTTCTCAGGCCTGACCTGGGAAAGTGCCTCTCTCTGCGCATGCCATCCCCACATCTTACTGGGCGCCCCAGCTGTCCCACCATCGATGCAGGGTGGCAGATGAAGCACTGCTTTTCAGTGCCCCTTCCCCAAGGGAGGAACAGGATCCCTGACGTCCCACTGGAAAGGGTCTCAGTGACAAGGGATGAAGGATACTGAAAGAGAAGGGCTTAGGCCCACTCTCTAGCTGGCCTGGCAAGTTCAGCAACCTCAGAACCGCAGAGATAGTTCGGCTGTCCCAGGCCAAGCTCCTCTACCAACAGGTCTCAGCCTTCAGCCTCGGCCTGCACAAGACCCTCCTCCTAGCCTGGCAGAGGGAACAGGCTGAGGAATGAAGAGGCTCCAACTGACCAGGGAAACAAGACAGCCCCTTAGAACCCTCCCCAGCTGCCATCTTCCTCAAGCCTCCCTTCACTGAGTCTGAGCTTCCCCCGCCCACCATCAAACCCCCAGAGAGCCCCCAGACCCCCAGGGAGCCCCTATATCCTCTCTAAGCCCCCAGTATTGCCATCGATTTTGAGGAGAAAACCTGCCAGCCCTTAATGGGCCTCACCCGAGATGTAACAGCTGCCACCCGAGAGTCCCATCCCAGTGGCCAGACACCTGCCGCATTCTCAGGCTCTCACCCCACCCTCTCCACTCCCAACCCTGGCATCCTTCTCAGGCCCAGGGCCTCAGCTGACCGCATCCCACCCACCCCCAACCAGCCTCTGCCAAGTCACCTGTGGTCATTTTTCCAGCAGCCTGGGCGGCTCGGGGACTCCGAGCTCACAGGTCCCTGGAAACTCCTCCAGGCCCTGGAAATCCCAGGGTTTGACGAGCAGGGGGAGGAGATTCTAACATCCTTACACTCTTGAGTCCTGAGGTTCATTTTGGACATGGGAGCTGTAGAGAAGGGATCCTTTCCCATTTGTACCCCACCAAACTCCCTCCCAGAATGAATCTCTCCCCTGGCAGAGCTCCCAGCCCTTGGCCCATCTCTGCAAGGAATACTTATCCCAGCAGGGAGCCCCAGTCTCATCTGTGCCGCAGTCCTAGCACAAGGCCTGCACATAGTCAGTGCTCAGGGAGGTGGGAGGACGGATGAATGAATGAATGTCCCCATGTGTACCCTATGTCTGCCTCACAGGAGGGGAAAGCAGAACATCACATCCTGAAATACGCAAGTTAGTCCAATTCCAAGCCCCCGTCTTCCAATCACAGGAACTCCCTCCCCCAGACTCCCCTCTGCAGATAACCACAGGACCCCTGGGCTGCTGCTTCAGTCCTGGTTGTCATGGCCAGAAAACCAAGCACCACCAGCACAACTGAGGAGCGTGGGCCACTAGGGTACCAGTGTCCTCCGATCAGCTGCTCCCTGACCAGGGCCAGGGTTAGGAGGGCCTGGCACTGGCCACACACAGGCCCAGAGGAAGCTCCTGCCCCTGCCCTCCTGCTCCCAACAAGAGCGGCTTTCTCCTAGCTTCCTCAGAGCCCAGAGATTCTCAGAGTAAGCCATGGAACATTCCCTAAAACCTCTCTCGGCTGTTCAGTCATAGTGAACCTTGCATGAGGAGGGGCTCCATCCAGTGCCCACTCAGCCATCAGATGCAGTACCTTGAGCCCATAATACTCTGAAAGCCCACCGACAGGTCTTGATTTCTTTAAAATCACTAGAGAATAGCCCAGCCCCATTGCCCAGTGATTAAGCACAGGGCATTGGAAGCTGGATCCCACATGGTAATCAGAGCTGGAATCCTGGTCCCAGAGGCTTGAAAAACATGCCGAGCCAGCAGAGGGCATGGTGGTTAAGGTGCTAGATTCCCATATGGCTGACAGCAGTTTAAGTTCCAGACCAGGTGGCTTAAAAATCACACTGAGTGCATGTGTGTATGTGCCCAAAATCCCACGAGGAGAATGGAGAAGAAAGGATTATGGCGTGGCCATCTCCGCCAGGGGTGATTTTTCACTTGTCTCTTTCTGGCAAGTGCACACACCCTATGGTAAATTTATTTAAAAATAAATAAACAAATAAAAAATAAAGATAAAATAGAAAGGAAGAAAGAAGGAGAGAAAGAGAAGGAAAGGAAGAAAGGAAAAGAAAGAAGAAAGAAAGAGGAGAAGAGAAAAAGAAAGAAGAAAGAAAGGAAGAAAGAAAGAAAGAAAAGGAAAAGCATGCCAGGTATATGTGCGTGTGTACTCCAAATCCTGATGGGATGGAAAGATGCAGGAGAAAGGATTTGTGTGACCATGTCATAAAACATCATTTTTAATATATTTTGAATGGAGGAAGGGACCCATGAAGGCAAAAGCGGCCAATAACAGTCCGTACTCAAGCTTTCTTGTAAGTACCAGATAACAACAACAATATAGCAAACACTTAAATAGTACTTACCATACGCCGGGCACTCCTTACAACAGCGCTAGGAAGCCGGCACCACTTCCCCCTTCTTTAATAGATGAGGGAGTGGCAGCAGAGAGAGGCTTAGCCACTAGCATGAGGTCCTACAGCTACAAAGCAATGGTGCTGGGTTTCCCCTTTCTCGTGAAATTCCAACCCTAAGCACAGCACTCAGCAGCCCATCTTCACCATCTGAAGCAGTTCAGGCAACGTTGGTTTTTTCCAGGGTCAGTTGTTTGGCACTGCCTTACATAAAGGACCCCACCTGGTAGATGTCTCAAAATATGGAAGTCCCCCTAAAGCTGGTACTGTCTGCACCTTCAAGAGCAGCCAACAACTTCCCCTATCGCTCCCCACTGCCCCCCACAAAAAAGGGTCAGTTTCTCTGTGAATCTTCACACCGTTATTCATAATAACATTCACTCTCTTCATCTGGTACCTGACTACCAATGTATTTCTATTTCTTTGTGTACTTGTTCAAATGTGTGGCATACAGTTGTTCTGTGTATGTCTATGTATAAGCTAACGCTTTATAGGATGACTGGTGTGTGCATGTTTGTGAAAATGGAAGTGTGTGTGTCTATGCCTGCTTGTCCCGGTATGCTTGTGTAACCATGAGTGTGTACACACAGCTGTGATGGGTACTAAGAAATCTCAGTATCTCTCAGCGTGAATCAACAAGCTGCCACTCATAGAAGCCCAACGGCCATTTTCTCAGATTGCTTAAGGGACATAAAGGAAACTGAGGCCCACAGAGTTTGCCTAAAGTCTGCAGTCAGCCAGTCAGTCACTAACTGAAGTAGAAACCAGGTGTCAGACCTCCTGCCTCCAGACCTGCTGATCCCCAGGGCCTATCACCTAGTTCAGTTCTAGCTCTGCTTACAGTTGTCAGCCCCCTGGCCACGGGACCCCTTGACAGGTTTGACGACCAACAGCTCTAGGTCTGAGGTGGCTTGAGCAGTGGTCGCTGATCGCTCTCTCAGGACCAGCCTCTAGAAGGGAACAGAAAACTCCCTGCAACCAGAGGTCCCCAGACAGCCCAGGCCTGGGGCCTGAGGTCCTCGCAGCAGAACAGAACCCCCCATCACCCACCCACAAGCACACTCACATTCCCTCCTTCTAGGCAGTTTTTAATCAGACCTATTGATTTCATATTACCAAAGTATCACATTTGTTTTTAAATTTTAAGCTGTATAAAAATTTATAAAGGGGCCAACAGGTGGCAAGGTGGTTAAAGTCGCTGGATTCCCACATGGCTGACCACGGTTTGAGTCCTGGACCTGGCAGCTTGCTTTCTCTTTCTCTCTCTGGTCAAATTTTAAAAATAAATAAATAAATAACAACAAATGGAGTTAAATAAATAATTCATACATATATATATATGTATATATGTATGAATCTTCCTTCTGCCCCGCCCCCCAAACACCTATGGGGGTTCTAAACTTCTTTGTCAGGAAACAAACCCTACAGTGACCAGTAGGCCTGTCTCAAAAAACAACTTCCAAGGGAATTCAGGGAGAGAAAGAAGGGAAGGAAGGGCAGAATTTTACTAATCAGGCTCAAGTCAGACCTTGGAGGGGGGGGCAATGAATGGATTAAACCAGGGACTCTAGGGGATTGGGCTGGTCCCAAAATGCGTGAAGCTCTAGCTAGACCTTCGAGGCCCACAACGCTCTGGACAACACCAAGGGCCACAAATTCAGACCTGCCATCCAACCCTGACATCAAACCACGGAACCTTAGGAATGACAGGAGCCTGGGAGTCCATCTGGCCCTCGCTGCCCATTATAGAGGTGGAGGGGCTGAGCACCCTGAAATGATGCTGACCTAGGGTAGGAGCGTGGCCAACCAAGCAACCTCTGGGGTCTGCCTGCACCTGCACCCCCGTCCACAGTCCTGGGGCCAGGCACAGGAGAGCACCAAGCCCAGGTAGTATGAAAGAGAAAAAGTCAGGACACAGCTCAGCACTGTAAGGACAGAAGGAAGGGTGAATCTCCACAGTCCCCAACCCTGGCTGCTTGGTGCTAGAAGTGCTAATTTCAGGGGCCAGCAGATGGCGTTAATGCTTACGTCACTAGGCTCACACACAGTCGACTGCGGTTCAAGTCCTGGACATGGTGTTTTGAAACTCATGCCAGCACACGTGCGTGTGTCCCAAAATCCCAAGAGGAGAATGGAGAAGAGATTGCGGTGTGGCTGTTCCTCCTGGGGGTGATTTCTCACTTTCTGTCTCTCTGTTTCTTTGTCTTTCCAGTGGCACACACGTCCTATAGCAAAAATCTCTCTCAAAAATCTCTCTTAAAGAAAAGAGAGGGGGCTGATTTAAAATCCTGGCTCTGAGGCCACTCAGCTGTGTGACTCTGGACAGTCACTCGCCCTCTGAGTCTCAGCTTCTACATTTTATTTTTAAGTTGATTTATTTGTTTCTTGAGGGAGAGACAGACACAGAGAAAGACGTGCACCCTCCACAGGGTCTCGCCCAACCACCCCGCAAGTTCAGCCAGCCAGGATCATGAGCATGCAGCTGCTGGCCCAGCACATAGGGCTGATCGGGGGACCCGAACCCTGACCTTCCAGGCAGCCTCCAGCATCGCAGAGCATTGTACAACCCCTGTACCACCATCTGGGCCTCAGCTTCTGCGTCTTTGAAGAGTGGATAATATTATCTTCTTGGAAGAATTAACTGAGTTACTGCAAGGAGTATTGCACACAGTGCCAGGCACATAGCGGAGACCCCAGAAATGATCATTAAGAATAAGATGGGGAGAGAGAATGAGAACACACACCAGGCAGAGTGGGGGTCTCCCCAGACCCTGCACCTCAGAATGGCTCTATGTCAGAGTCTTTGGAAAAATCCATGCTTCCGAGCCAGCTCCAAATCCTGCCCAAATTAAACAGTAACCACCAAGGTCAGGGAAAGGGCCTTGTCAGAGCAGGTTTCTCTCCAAGGGGTGGTTCAGCCTTGAACAGGCAGACGCCCCCTCCTCCGGCCTATAAGGGTGTCCCTGTCCACCTCAACAGCCAGTCCATCCTGAGCACCCACACCATGCTGGGCGTCACCGTCCTCGCTGCGCTCCTGGCCTGCGGTAAGCAATGGTAGGGGACCAGCTGCAGCCTGCGGGCTGTGTGCTCAGGCCAGCTCTCAGGAGCAAGGACAGGAGCATCTCTCTCTCTGGGAAGCTGCTTTGGGGTGCAAGGTGGGCTCGGATGCTGCTGGCCAGCTGTGTGTCAGAAGAGCCGTTGGGACCAGCAGTTAGCATAATGGCTATGTCGCTGGACTCCCATGTAGTCGAATGTGGTTCGAGTCCTGGACCTGGTGGCTTAAACTCATGCCAGGTGCATGTGTGTGCGTGCCCAAGATCCTGAGAGGAGAATGGAGGAGAAGGGCTTGCGGCATGGTCATCCCCCCGGGGGTGATTTCTCGCTTTCTGTCTTCCTGTCTCTGTCTTTCTAGTGAGCGCACACGCCCTATAGCAAAAAACCTCTCCAAAAAAAAAGAGAGAGAGAGAGAGAAGAGCCGCTTCCTGCTTGGCCGTTCCCCTTCAGCATCTGCAAAATAAGAATGATGACTTGCCCTCCCCCTGGTGGGGGGAGGGTTAGAGATGAGGCCTTAAAAACACCCCAAGTTCCTGGGAGATTCTTTGCTCCCCCACTTTGGTGTCATTTTCCCAGATTAGGAACCGAGGGAGTTGGTTCCAATGCCACTCACACGCTGGAGGACCCAGACAAGGCCTCCCTCTCTGAATCTCGGCTTTGCTGGCTAACGAGAGCACCGAGGGAGGCCTTCAGCTAACAGCAGGAACGGCGGCTCCTCTTAGAGTCTGCACGTGCCAGCCGCGCGCCCAGCCCCGTACACGCAGGAGCTCATTTGATCCTCACGACCTCCTTGAGAGAAGTGTTGATTACTCACTCATTTACTGAGCACACTAAGGCTCAGCGAGACTCGGCATCTGGGCCGACATCCCATGGCTGGCCAGTGGCAGAGGCAGAGTGTAGGGCTGTCTCACCCAAAGCGCTCGCTCACTCCTGCCCACTCCTCACAGCAGCCCGGCTAGGGCGACCCGGAGCTCTGTGGGCTTAGCGCTCATGCCCTTCACCTTACACTGTGACCTAAAAGGGGGACAGGAGGACGCAGGTGTACCTCAGACTCACGCACATGCCAGCACCTTTTTTTGTCTTTAGATTTTTGTCGTAGGGTGCAGACACTCACTGGAGAGAGACAGAGAGAGAGAAAGGGAGTCCTCCCGGCAGGAGTGTGAGTGTGTGTGGGGGGGTACCCACACTGCAATCCCTTCTCGGGATTTTGGGTACAAATGCACACACACCCGGCATGATTATCAAGCTGCCAGGTCTGGGATTTGAACCACGGTCTGCCATGTGGGAATCCAGAGCCTTCACCACCACGCCACCTGCTGGCCCTGCCAGCACCTTTTTGATTTCCTTCCATGCACCCATGGCGCCTTTTGCTAAACTCTGTCTAGGCGTTGCCTAGCAGGTTAGTCTTCTTCCCGTTTCACAAAAAGGAAAGCTGAGGCCCAGAGAACTAAGAGGCTTCCCCAGAAGTCACGCAGCAAGATAAGGAAAACATGAACCTGAGTCTGCGCAGCCCAGAAGTCTGTGTTTCCACCTGTGCCCCCACTTGCACTTCCCCAGAGGGGAGGCCAGCCCCACTCACCTGTGCTGCCCCTCCCATCTCGCCCAGCCTCCAGCTGCGGGGTGCCCAGCTTCCTGCCCAACCTGTCAGCCCGGGTGGTGGGAGGAGATGACGCCAGACCCCACAGCTGGCCCTGGCAGGTAAGTGTGCTTCGGGGCGGGAGGTCGGGATAGAGCGGGCGTGGGTGAGGGCCCCCAGGGACCTGTGGGCTGATGTGTGGCCCTTCCACACCCTTCTGCAGATCTCCCTCCAGTACCTCAAGGATGACACGTGGAGGCACACATGTGGCGGCACCTTGATTGCCAGCAATTTCGTCCTCACCGCTGCCCACTGCATCAGGTGAACAGAGGTGATGCCCCAGAGACGGACCATCGCCCTGGGGTGGGAGCCCACCAGCTGCTGTTATTGAACACCTACTGTGCACTCAGGGCACGGAGCTAAATAAGCTACATCCAGGAACTCGGTTGTTCGCTTATTCAGTCCACAACCAGTTACCGTGCCCTGTGTGTGCCAGGGAGCCCAGCAGTAAAGACAGTCTGTGCTCCCAGGGAGTTTCATGCTAGCGAAGGTGAGCCACAGACACGCGAGGTACACAGGTAACACGCAAGTGGTAGTGAGGAGAGCCAAGACCGGAAGAGGATAGTAAGTACGAGGGGGTTCTGGGTGGGTTTTTGTTTTGTTTTGTTTTTGTTTTTGGAGAGGTTTTTGCTATAGGGCACGTGTGCTCGCCAGACAGAGAGAGACAGAAAATGAGAAATCATCCCCCAGGGGGGATAGCCACGCCGCAATCCCTTCTCCTCCATTCTCCTCTCAGGATCTTGGGCACGCATGCACACATGCCTGGTGTGAATTTAAGCCACCAGGTCCCGGACTCGAACTGTGGTCAACTACATGGGAGTCCAGCGACATAGTCATTGCGCCAACTGCTGGTCCCAGTTCTGTTTTTTTTTTTTTTTATGGTTCTCACCATAGGGTGCATATGGTAGCCAGAGAGAGGGAAAGTGAGAAACCATCCCCAGAAGGGACGACCGCACCACAATGCCTTCTCCTCCTGGGATCTCAGGCACGCACAATGCCCGACATGATTTTCAAGCTGCCAGATAGATCCAAGACTCAAACCACAGTCGACCATGTGGGAGTCCAGCACCTTAACCACTGCTGACCCCGAGGGGGTTGTGTTCTAAATGAAGTAGCCAAGGGGAGACACAGGGATACTTGCACAAAGACACAAAGGCAGTAAGAGAGGCGCCGTGGGTCTGCAGGAAGGTATCACAGGTGGAGGGAACATCAGTGCGAAGGCCTGGAGGAGGGAGCCTGTGGCTGCGCCGTAACGAGGAAGCTGGAGAGGCAGGAGCCCTGTGTGCAAGGGAAGAGCAGGAGGGTGAGTTAGGGCACACACGCACGGCCCGAGAGCCAGGTCTGTGTGAGAACACTGGCTTTGACCCCCAGGAAGATGGCGGAGGGGTCTTTGGGCAGAGGAGGGATGGAGGTTGGCTTCTACTTAGAAGACTTTCACTGCTGGGTAAGGATAGACAGCGGGGAGCGGGGTGCAAACAGGGGGCAGCTGGGTGGCCATCGCAGCATGTAGGCAAATGGCCGTGTAGCTGGTTAGTTTATCCTCACAGCAGCCCCGGGAGGTGAGTTCCAATACTGCTTCCACTTTACAGGCGAGGGGACTGAGGCCAGGCCACCCAGCTAGAAGTGGCAAGGCCACCACAGAAACCCAAGTTCCTTGACCTCCCAGTCTGGGGGTGTCCCCGTGCAGGGTCAGTGGAGACAGAGACCCGGTCTTCCCTCGAGTGAGCACTGTGGTCACGGGCTGGGTCACAAAGCTCCAAGATGCCTGTCTACCCCTCGGCTGGCAGGGGCAGGAGGCCGTCCTGACCCAGGCCCCTCACTCTGCCCAGCAACTCCCTGACCTACCGCGTGGCCCTGGGCAAGAACAACCTGGAGGTGGAAGATGAGGAAGGCTCCGTGTTTGTGAACGTGGACACCATCCACGTCCACGAGAAGTGGAACTCCTTCCTGGTGCGGTGAGTGTCAGCTGCCCCCTTACAGGGCCACTGAGACAGAGCTGCAGGGCCCGCCCCACCGGAGCCTGCCACCCACCCGCACCCTGAGCCACCAGCAGCTGACCCTCTTACTCAAAACAGCAAAACGCCAAGTGCGCACGGACTCCCCTCCCATCTGCATCACTAGCCAAGGGTCCGCAGAAGCCCCCGAGGAATAAAGACGTTGAGGCCCCATGGTGTTTCTCCTGGAGTTGCCCAGCCGGAGGCTGAGCCAGGACTCCCCCTCGCACACACACATATCGCCATAGGTACTTAATATGCCATCTCCTATTTCATCCTCATGACAGTCCTAGACAAGGCCCAGGGACTCAGAGAGGTTCAGGAATACGTCCCGGGTCACACAGCCCAGTGCGTGGCAGAACTAGGAATTGAAGCACGGCTGTCTAGGGCCCCCAGGACTTGACAACATGTGAAAGGACATCTGCATGAGCCCCTCCCTCAACGTCCTGACTTCCAGCTGGCCATGACTGCATTTCTGGTTAGGAGCTCCTGCCCAGGCTCCCCTCCATGAAGCCTTCCGTGATGTGATGACAAATGCAGGAGGAGCAGCGTCCCACGGGCAGGAGAGCCCATCAGGAAAGCCCTTTGTCCTCCGAAACCTCTGGAAGGCCAGTGAGAAGCAGCAGGCAGGGTGTTCCTGGAGAACCCCCGGCCATAGCCGGTCTGACTCTCAGATTCCAGCAGGAGTCCCTGAGCCCCGGCTGGTGGGGCCAGGACCCTCCGGCCCACTCACTGTCCACCCTGTTTCAGCAACGACATCGCCCTGATCAAACTGGCAGAGCACGTGGAGCTGAGTGACACCATCCAGGTGGCCTGTCTGCCGGAGGAGGGCTCCTTGCTGCCCCAGGACTACCCCTGCTACGTCACTGGCTGGGGCCGACTCTGGAGTGAGTACGACCCCTGGCAAACCCACGCGGCCTATCCGGAGAGAGCAGCCCCCGCAGCCACACAGCACCCGCCTCGCTGTCACTTTGCCTTTTTGCATAAATATTTTCACCTCTTTTTAAACGCTGTGATAACAACGGCTAATATTTATTAAGCACAGACTACGTGGCAAACACTCTAACGTGCATATCGCAGGGGGTTTGTAAGGGTTAAACGGATTAGAATTTGTCAGGGCTTGACATGTAGAACATAAACTAAAAAAAATATACAGAAATAAACCATTTGGGGGTGGAGAGTCAGAGCTGATGGTGTACACATGCCCAAATAGTTTCCAGCTAAATTAGAGGTTATGAGCGAATAAAGGGAACTGGGAGGAAAAGGCAGATCAATACTCCAAAAATCTCGGGGGTGAGAAAGCCCTGCTAGGAAGTGGCTGAGAGTTAAAGCCCAGTTGGAAAGCTCTCTGTGGTTCTCGCTGCCTCCAGACTCCTCCCTCTTCCCTCCCTCGAGGGACCCTGACCCTAACCATTGAGGTCTGCGGGCTTGCCTCCTGCCTAAGGGCAGGTGTGCACTTGTGTGATTCCTACATAGCCTCAGGTAGAACTTACTTGCATCCAGTCCCCACCCTCTGCCCCTGGAGACCTGGGCTGGGCTGGGGCCTCCCTGGTCACTCCCCACTCTCCCTAGCCAACGGCCCCATCGCCGACGCGCTGCAGCAGGGCCTGCAGCCCGTGGTGGATCACGCCACCTGCACCCAGAGAGACTGGTGGGGCACCATGGTGAAGGACACGATGGTGTGCGCTGGGGGCGACGGTGTCATCTCAGCCTGCAACGTGAGTGCCCAGGCCCTGCACCCGGTCCCTACTCTAGCCAAGAGTGAGGGCAGTGGGGAGGGCAGGGAGGGGGCAGACTGAGCAAACCCTTTCCTGGGAGGAGACTGACAGGCTTAAGGGAAACCTGTCACCCCACCCTGCCTCCCCTTCCGCCTCCCCCAGCACCATGGTGACAGCTTGACAGGTGAGCATGAGCAGCCGAGTTCCAGTCCCAGTCCCACGGCTTATTGGCTGTGGAACCCTGGGAAAGCTACCGAACTTCTCTGAGCCTCCGTTTCCCTGTCTAGAAAATGGAGCTGCAGTAACCACTTCACAGGGGTGCCGGAGGACTAAATGACTCTAACGGAGGAAGAAGGGGTTTCTTTAAAGCCTCTGCGCGTGTTCCCTAATGCCCCACCAGCCCAGGGAGACGGGATGCAGGGAGTCGGACACAGAACCGTCAGACTGTCCTGCTTTTAAACACGTGACCTTCTCCCACTCCCACCTCCCTCACCTCCCAGGATCCTCGCCTCTCTGGGTAGCTCGGCGTCTTAGACACAGAGACCTGAGCAGCTAGGGGGGCAGGCACATCATCTGAAGCTCACATGGCAAAGGTCTAGTTTGACACCGGGGTTCTCCCAGACTGAGGCCAAGGCACCCCGCACCAATGCTGAGCACAAACCATACCCCCACCCCAACCGGCTTCACTTCCCAAGCCTGCCTCTGGGGGAGACCAGGGGCTGACGCTGCCTGGTCTGGTGCAGGGGGACTCTGGTGGCCCGCTGAACTGCCAGGCTGAGAACGGCTCCTGGGAGGTGCGTGGCATTGTCAGCTTTGGCTCTGGGCTGGGCTGCAACACCCTGAAGAAGCCCACAGTCTTCACCCGCGTGTCCGCCTACATCGACTGGATCAACCAGGTGGGTGCCGCCTCCAGGGCTCCTTCCCGCAGCCCGCCAGCCCCTCTCACTCTGGCATGTCCTCCCCCGCCCCCTCGCTCTCACCCCCATCATTTGCTCACTCATTCGTGCCCTGGTTCCCTCATTCGGTCCCTCCCCGGGGTGCCACTCCCCACTGCCCGTCACCGGCCAGCCCTGAGGTGGGGCAGGGGAGGAAGTAGGTTCTGGCTGTCCATCCGCTCGTCCACTGACTTCAGCAAATCCTCTGTCCCCAAGACTAAAAGGTGGCCCCGGGAGAGCCGGGCCCAGCAGAGGAGCAGGGGAGGCCTAGGTGGCCAGTTAACATCTCGAGGGTGAGGGGACAGAGGGGCGCCTTGGGCTGGGGGCTTCTGCCCTGGGGACAGGATGTGTTTTGAGCCCCATTCGCTCAGTGGTCTGGAAGTCTGCGATGGGCTCGGACCCCTCGGGCAGAGACAGGGCTGGCTCGTCCAGGCTCAGGGCTGCCGAACACGCCTCCCTCAGATCCCCCAGCACAGCCTTGAGCTGCCCCAGAAGGTGGCACCTGCCCTTCACACTGTTGTCTGCTCCTCCAGAAAATGCAGCTGTGATTCGTCCTTGGAAGCCACACAGCAAATTCAACAGCAATAAACCTCCTTCCCCATTAAGTCGTCTGGAGTCTTGATTTGCCTTTCCCTGCGGGTTCCCAGACCACCCCGTTCCACACCAGGGTCCAGAGAGAAACCTCCCTGAGCCAGGCTGGTGAGGCCCTGGATAGGCTCCTGGGGTGTTAATGGGGACGGGATCCCTGGAGGATATCTGGTAGCCCAGAGGATGAAAGGTAAGGACGTGTCAGGTATTTGCCCCTCCATCCCACGAGCTGCGAA